TAAACTTAAGTACAAACTAAACTAACTAAAAATAAAATAAAAACTAAAACTATACTACTAATTAATTTTAGTTTATTTATTTATTAGTTTGTTTAGTTTGTTTTTTTTTTTTTTTTAAAGATCCCAAACTTGACCACTACGTTCGGGATACTTAAGCTAGGTAGCAAGGGTAGTGGCCAGCCCGAATTGTTTGTGCGAGTCTGAGTTGGCTCACATGAGTTCTCAAACACTAGTTGGAAATTTATTCATGAATTAGGAATAAGGGTATTTTAGTATTTTAATTCAATCTCCCAGGGTAGTTTGGGCATCAATTATTACTTCGTTTTTCTTCCAATTTTTTAAATTTGCACTTCTGCCTTGTGTAAGCTTCTGATTCACTCTCGAGTTTATCCGTGCCGTCCGTTACTATAAATAGACGGTGATGACTCCTTTGTACTCCACGCAATATAAGCTAGTGTATAACATGTTTTCCTGCCAAAAAAACCTCACTACCTTTTGGGAATTTACTTACGGGAAAGCTTTCTATATTCCCCTTAAGTTCTATCCTCCTTTTGTCCAACTCTCTATTTTTTAATAGAGGGTTAAGATTGCTCCCATTACAATGTCATGTCCCTACACTGTTTTATTTTTAATTTTTAATTTTTTTTCTATAAATTGTTTTGACACCAAAATTTGGACACCATTTCCTCTATTAAACTCGCAATAACGAAAAATATAAAAACAATATTTTCAATAAAATAAAATGATCAAAATACCCCAGAAAATTTCAAGAGATATTTTGGTTATTATATTTTTTCAAAAAATTATTGTTAATATTTTTTATAGGTGCGTCCCAATAAAAAGGTGTCACGTACCAAATTTCATATTAAAAAAAATTGTATTAAAAAATTAAAAATAAAATACTTTGAGACGTCAATTTTAAGATCAAACGGTGAGTGACTCCCGTGATAAAATATGGACAAGTCGATAGTAGAGAGAAGATACAACTTGTATGTTGTAGGGAAACATAGGAAGCTCTTCCTTTACTTGTACAGAGTATAGTGTGCTGGCCCGTTAATTTCTTCGTAATGTCGATGAAATTTGGGAATTATCCCCTACGAAAAAGGGTCATAACGAAAGTTGCATGCGTCCAGTGAACGAAAATGACCGTATATTTATCGCCGACCTAATTAAATAAGGGGTGCGGCAAATTTGGGAATTATCCCCTACGAAAAAGGGTCATAGCGAAAGTTGCATGCGTTCATTGAACGAAAATGACCGTATATTTCTCCCCGACCTAATTAAATAAGGGGTGCGGTTCGCATACGGATGCCTCCATACGTGGTGCCTTTCAAATTTTATCATCTTATATAATTTTGATGTAATTTTTTTTTTTAGATTATTTAAAAATTTATTTTTATATCTAATTATAAAATTTTAAATTTTAAAAATGATTTAAATCAAATAGATCAATAAACATATGACAATCTTGAAAATAGACGGTGTAAATAATATGTTGTAAAATGTATAATTTTTTAGATTTAAAATCTTTTTATTTTTATAGTCATACATCTCGATATCGAGATGATTAATCAAAAGGTTTTCCAACATTAAAACCACCTTTTCCAATGGACGTCAGTAGTTCTACATTACAAAGTAGTACCCTTATATAAACTTTTTTTTTAAATAAGAGGGCTCAGTTCCTCTTGATAAAATAAATGCGTTTTGGTCGCTTTCCATAGTACCGTGACATCTCTGTACTTGGTCTTGAACAGTTTTTTAAATGCCTTTTGTCTTAAATAGTGTTTTAAAATCCAGTAAATTTTTTATTTTTGGATTGTCGATTTTGATGGGAACTGGTCATTCTCCCCTAAAACATCCTTCATATATATATAGTACTTTTTTTTTTAACTCGTCTAATGGCTCCTCAGCATGGTTGGAAAATCGCCCGATCGAACTGGTAACTGCCCCGTTAAATCGGAACTGGCCACTGGCCAATTCCTGTTTCGACCAGTTTTGGTGACCGTTCGACTAAAAATAAAGTTATATAAAATACCAAAAAATAAGAGATTTTTTTTGTAATGTATTTTTAATATTTTCAACATTATAGAAACATTGGAAATTGTTTTGACCATTAATATTTATTTTTATATATTTTTTTATAAAATATAAAAAATACCCCTAGGCAGAGTTCAATTATTTAAAATTCATTTTTTTATTAATTTTTCAACTCATTCGGATGTGTTTTGTTTAATTATTCTTTAAATATATTTTTCATATTTTAGTCAATATTTTTTTTATTTTTTATTTTTTATTTTTTTGATACTTTTTTGACCCTCCGAGACTTACCCAGTTTGAACGGTTGAACCGGCCGGTTGACCGATTAGGCCGGTTGAACCGCTTCCAAGCCCAGGATTCGCCCTCTAAATCCCCATCCCATTAATCCTTGTTTTATTTTTTAATTTATTTTAATTTAGGTGAAATATCCTCATACCTCTTATTTTTAGTTTTCATTATTTCAATAGATCAAAAAATTCAAAATATATCTCTTAAGCTTCTGACTAATTTCATCTACTTTTGATTATTTTTTTAACCCTAATAAATATAAAAAAGACGTGCTCATTCGAAACCCTTCATCTCTTTACGTGATATATTCATCCCAAATTTCTCTCTCAATCATTCATCCTCTTTGTCTCTCTAACGGAGGAGAGTGAGTGTGAGAGACACGGGGGGAGAGAGAATGAGAAAGAGAGAGATTTAAAGAAAAATTACATGAAAAAAGATAAAAAAAAAAAAAAAATTTAAAGGGGATAAAGTTAGCTTAGGGGGTTAAAATATATAAAAGTTAGAATTTTTATGACTCAAAATATGTTTTGAAACCTTTGGTGTATTAAGATATAAAACTTAAAATTGAGGGTAATAGAAATATTTTCTCTTAAATTTATTTGTTTTTAAATAATTTAGATTGATCTAGATTGGATCTAGATCAATCTAAATCAGATTTAGATTGATCTAGACTGGATGAATGATTTGCACCACCAATCTGGGTTTTGAAGCACTCGTCTAAAAGATTAACGGTGGAGATTATCGTTCTTCCGCTTTGTAGTCTTCTTTCAGGGAATGCCTTAATTGTCTTTTTTGTTGTTTCACGTTAAAAACGTGGACGGCATACTTAGCGTGGTGATGTGCATACGATAGAAAAAGACGAAAAATGACTAGCGACTTGAAAAATGACTGTAGCCATTCAAATTCTTACTGATTTATTTATTTATTTATAAGAATGTCTCTGGAATTTGGTACTGTAAGCTTTATGAGGTGATCTCTGACTCCATTCTTATCAAAAAGTAGGACCCAAATCCCTATTAACGTACCACTTTTTAGCCTTAGCGGTAGTATTGTTGAACCCCATGGTGATAAAGCCTTGACGATAGTATTACTAAACCTCGTGGTAAGATCTCTTACTCTATTCTCACCAAAAAAATAAGGGCTCAAATCCCTCTATCTTTTACTTACCCCCAAAAAAATATCCACAAAAAATATGTGTATATGACCGTCTTAATGGAAGGTTAAAAAAGAAGAAGCAAATTTCCCTCTCTAAAAAGTTTGTGAGAAAATGAGAAATTGGAACTTTGGAGAAATACAGAACCTGCGTAGGCAGGAAGTAGGTAACCCTTCATTGAATGGGGTGGGGATTTAGGAGAAATATACTCTTTTTTTTTTTTTGAAGACCTAAGAGAAATATACCATTACGAGTCATCATTGAATTTTGTTTGGGTTCAAATTCAATCTCAATCCCTTTCTCTCACTCCTAAATAAATTTACATGGACCACTTTCTTTTCTCATAAACATTTTTTTTTGGGTGAGTAGTGTTTGGGTTCAAATTGTCAAGCGCTAACCAATTAAACCTGAGCTCTTTTCTCACATGAACAAATTAAATCCATTAAAAGTAGGTGTCACTGCCAGTTTCGCGAAAGGTACACAGCGAGTTAGTCAAATGAAGCTTTAGAGAGAGAGATTCAGAAAAATGGGCAAAGAAGACACCCTAATGTTTTGGTATTTACGAAAACACCACCGAGTTCTCACTAACCATCTTGACTTTGAAACATGAAACACATCTTAGGGCACGATTGATATGTATGAAAATATTTTCATAATTATTTTTGTAAATATATTTTCACGTGAAAGAACTACCTGTATGATTAGAGTTGAGAGTTGTTTTTCACTTTCATGTGAAAAACTTTTTTAAAAATATTTACACACGTACCAAACGGGCCCTCAGATTTTTCATATTTCTATAAGTTCCCAAATGTTTATAACGCCCAAGATTATGGCGTCTCAGTTTGCTTTTGATTTCTTGTACGTTTCAGCAAAGCAAATTTGATTTCATCCTCCATTCTTCTTGAAAATTAATGTTATCTTTTGCCATTTTTCATGACCCAATATCCATGTTATTCGTGTGCAGTTACTTCTGCAAGCTTCAAATTTTGGATTTAAGGTTGAGAGTGGTTAATAAAATGGCCCCGAGGAGTAATAGTCGTGGCAAGGCGAAAGGCGAGAAGAAGAAGAAAGAAGAAAAGGGTAAGTATTGTTGAAGTATCTACTTGAATTCATGTAATTATAGACGGTATGGATTACTGCAATCTTATTTCTACAAATATGATTGCAACGTTATATAAACTTTTTTCTATCATGAAACATGAATCCCAAATGGAATAAAGTCTGTTCTTCCAAAGAGAGGGCTTATAACTCTTAACACTTGTGCGATCATGTAATGCGTTTCAGTCCTTCCGGTGGTGCTCGACATCACAGTGAACCTTCTAAACGATTCTCAAGTTATCTTAAAGGTTTGTTCCATTTCTTCTTATCTCTAGTCTTTTATCTCCTCACATTAATAGGACATTTGATTTCATTCAAGGGTACTTTGTAAATATCGAATGACAATCAATAGTCTGTGGCCTAAACATTGTGATGTTCCTTTCATGTTCCTTGATAAATTGGTACCTAAAACTATTCAAAAGGAGCCTTAAACTTGTAGATTAGCAATATAACACACAATATGCTCCGATTTTAATTTAATAAACAAATATACAATGAGACTATTTACCTTTGGTACAAGGTGGTGACAATTAATCTTGACCATTGGATGTAAATTTGGGTGGTTGCATTTAATCCGTTGATCGGGTGTAAAGTTCAAAAGAAATTTTTTCTAACTTTGTGACGCACCCAAGCTACCAGATTTCAAATCGGATAGTTGTAAATAATTGTGACCTTTTTATACTAAAAGTAAATAGTCTCATTGTATATAATCCCTTAACTAATTTACTTTAATTTATTAACTTAACTAATTTACTTTAATTTATTAAAGTTGTTGAGTATGTGTAGACACCTCCTCTCGAAATTTAACTAAGCTTTGTGAAGATTTGAGTTGATCTCATCGACACAGATCAAAGCATAAACAACATGGCTCTTAACTTTGATTGGTTGGGTGCAGGGAATATCGACCGATAGAATAATTGATGTTCGTCGCCTGTTATCAGTGAACACAGAGACATGTAGTATAACAAACTACTCATTATCACATGAGGTAAGTGACAGGTTTTTTATTGTGTTAGATGAGAAAAAGTTCAAATCTAGTTGAATTAAATGCTTATCCTTTGCCAAAAAAAACAAAATAAAAATAAAGAATGATAAAAAAATGATATAAATTACATTGTGTTGGAAAGAAAATGATTCTACCAAATTCAAACAATTGTATTCTCCAATATCCCAGTCACCACAATCCAACACTACAAGCTTAAATATGCTCCCTAGTGACTATAGTGTGTTTCTATTATGGATTTTTGTACTTTTGGCCTAAAAGGTCTTTAAGTTGGGCAATCGAAAAGTTGAACTCTCCAACATTCTAAAACACAAAAATAACTAACTATTTGTGGTGTCATGGGTTATTTTATTTTGAGCAATTTTAAAAGTTGAATTTTCGAATCACCCAAATGATTAGGTTTTTATTTATTTATTTATTTATTGTTATTTAGTTTGAAAGGCTTTTGACTCCCTCAAACATTTGCCATTTTTGTATTTTAGGTGGTTCAAAAATTGAACTTTCAAACTAGAAATATGAAAAAAATAAAAAATTTTATGGGTGCGGTTTGTATAGAGCCTAGGCTCTAAACAATCAAATTAGAGCCTACCTTCAAATATTGTTGAGACATGTGGTTTCAAGACTGAAAATTTTTGTGATAGCCTTAAAATATATTTTCATCATGACAATTGATGGTCCAAAAATGCGTTATAAAATACACTATTTCTAAAACTTGAAATCCATTTTTTTCTCATATCCATACATCTTCGAGATGATCAATTTGAGGATATTTGGGTATCAAAACAACCTCTTATAGTACATTTTTTGGGGTAGGCTCCAATTTGATTGTTTAGAGCCTCGGCTCTATATAAACTTTTCTCAAATTTTATATCTCACTACCAACTGTGCCAAAATATAGACTACTTTTATTTCCAAAAATTATTTTAGGTCCATACAATTTTCTCATCATTGGAAGTAAGAGCTATTCAAACCTGCTAAAATACGGAGAAATTTACATTCATGTCCCCCTAGATTATCATTATTATAATATATCTCTTTCCTTTTCTATCTTTTATGTTCGTATTTTTTTTTTCCCTTGTTTTTCCAAAATACCCTCACCTTGAACCTTCAAAACTTGAAGTTACAACAACTTCCACTGAAGTCAAGAAGGATTTTTTAGACTTCAAACCAATGATTGCAATACCGGCCGATTCAACTCGAAACCGGTCGGTTAGATCGGGCTGTTTCCATTTTGGCTGGTTTGGGTGATCTGGCCGGGTATTATAAAAAAAATTCAAAAAAATTTATATGAAGTCCCAAAAAATAAAGAATTTGTTTGTAATGCGTTTTTAAATGTTTTTTTTTTCTTTTTTATCATTTTGGCAAAGATTGAAAAGTGTTTTGTCCATGAATATTTATATTTACATTTTCTCATCTTTTTAAAAGAATTAAAAAATAGCATTGGACATAAATTGATTTTTTAAAATCCATTTTTTCCCTAATTTTCAACTTAAATTTGGATGTGCTTTGTTTAATTATGATTTAAATATATTTTTCATATTTTTTTTATATTTTTTATATTTTATTTACTTGCTGAGACTTGCCCAGTTAGGCTGATTTCTTGATTATTCGAAACCAACCCTTGACCGGTTTCTGAGGCCGGTCCAATTTCTATCAGTACTTCAAACCGTCAAGGTAGCCCCATCACTTCAAAACCGTAGGGGTCTGAAGTGAATTCTAGAGAACCACCCTAACTATTCTGTTTCATTAAACTTGTTTTTAGCTCCCAAATTTTTACTAATTTGTACTTTGTATCGATATAACACTTGTTCATCCATAAATTACTATTATATGTATAAGAAGCCACTACTCAAAATCATTTCTCGACAACTTTGAGGAATCAAGAGGGATTGGCTTTGACCCTTTTATAGAGAGTTCATTTTTGGACTTTTTCAAGGTATAAAGTCGAATCACTTTGGATCTTGAAGACTTGAAATTTTCCCTAGAGTCCAAAATGCACTTTAGACTTCCAAAGTCTGAAACTAAAAATTCCGTTGGTACTTGGACTTTCGAGATGAGAAATGGAAGCATTGTACAAAGAAAAGGAAGAAAAAAAGAGTATGAATGTAAAATACATTATAAATGGAGAAATTTTTATAATAATAAATATTTAAGGGATATGAGAGTAAATTTCTCTAAAATATATTCCCAGGGCACCGTGAATCCTCCCTTCTACTTGATGTTAAGTAGTTTGGGCCTAAAATCATTGAAATCAAGAGATAATACTTTTAGGAGTATAGTTTGGGCCTAAAATCATTGAAATCAAGAGATGGTCTTTTTAGGAGTATTTTTTTTTCTGCCCGAAGAAATCATTATGCAATATGCATATGCGACAGAAAATAACATCTTATTATTGAATATAGATCATCTAATTTTGGAAGGTTTAAGTATTTTGAAAACCAAAATATGTTTTAAAACAAATTATATGGTAATTCTATATTAGATCCAAGATTTTGAGGGTGATTCATGATTCGGTGCTTCTCCCGTTGCTAATGCGAAAAGATTTCATGCTCTCGTGGGACTAAACTGTCCATTTGCCCCCCCAGACAAAACTCCAGTTAAGAATGTCTTTTGGATCTCAAATTTGGATATGTAATCGTCCGCACTCTTGGTGTCCAAAGAGTAAAGAAGAAGTATCTAATTTTTGGAGGGAAAGAACAAGATTTGAAAATCTAAAGTTTTTTTCTCTTTAAAATAACCATCTAGTGAGATTTAGATAGATCCTTAAAATTTGGACCAGTGTTTAAAAGATTGCTTTGGGCCAGCTGCTCGCTACTTGCCCGAGGCGAGTTATTTGGACGAGTCCAAATGACTTGTCCACATAAAGGCCCAAAAAGATAACATAAAAAAAAGTAAAAAGAAAAAAAAAAAGAAGAAGAAGAAGAAAGGAATGGTCATTGGTTTGTGCCCAAGAAAGATAATATGGGGCTAAAACGAGAGAAGGGGTGCCCCATCTCCCTCCCCCAAAAGCCATCTCTTTAATCTCACTCTCACCGCCGTACAATCAATGTCTCTCTTCCTGCTCTCTTTAATCTACCTCTATCTTTTTTTTTTTCTTTTTTTTTGTTGGGTAATTCAATAGGGAAGATTGGCCCACCTATTTTTTTTCAACTAGTTTATGAATCAGTTTTTTAAGGTATTAGTGAGGTGATGTAAGTGAGAATGAAAATCACAATATAATGATTAAGGTGTGAGGGTGCTATCACTATAACCCAGTCCTGTGGCTAAATCGAGAGAGGGGGCTGCTGCCCCATCCCTCTCCTCCAAAGCCATCTCTCTTCTCTCTCTCTTCAATCACACTCTCCCTACTGACACACTCTCTCTAATCCGTCAGTCACTCTTCGCGATCTCTCTGACCTAACTTCTATCTCTTTTCAATCTCTCTCACTCGCTTACATGTCTAGCTCTCTCTCCCTCGGCCTCTCTCAAATTTCTCTTCCCCGCCACTCCCTCTCTCAAAAGAAAGACATGAAAATAAGGGGTCAGAAAGATATGTATAAAAATAGAGAGGTAGAGAGGGGGAGATAGATAGGGAGTGAGATGAAAGAAAACAAAGTGGAAATCACCCCCCCTCTAGGAGAGAGAGAGTTCCAGGCTTATAATTCAAAGGAGTAGTGCCCCATAAGAGAGAGTACGGGGGACTGCACCTATTTCAGAGATTGAAAGAGGTTGGGATGAAATAAGGGGGTTGTGGCCCCATTTATGTAAGTGCAACATAAGTTATCACATCCATGTGTGTAGGATTTCAAAGGATCACCATTAAATTTTACACAGATATCTAAAAAAAAGTCAAATTCCACATCCGTATGATAATTTTTCTAGAGATGTGTGTTAAATTTAATGATAATTATTTGGGTCCTACACATATGGGTGTGGGAGGGTCTCATAAGATCATTACTATATATATAATGAGACAAGGAGGTCAAAATTATTTATAACCATCCCATGTAAAATCCGATAGGGTGTTTCATAAAATTCAAAAAATTTCTTATCAAGTTTATGCTTGATCAATAGAATAAATGTAATCCTCTAATTTCACATTCGGTCAAGATTAAGTGTGACCGCCATAAAAAACAATTCTCAGAAATAACTATTTTGCCCAAGGGAGTTGCTGTACAGTACATACTCCCGCGACAGTATGCTCCCACTGAATTCGTTCCCATGCCCTTTGTCTCTTTGTTAGTTTCTTCTTTGGGTTAGCTGAGCGGAATCGAGACTGAATTGTAACGCAGCTAATGTAAAGAGATAAACCTTTGTTGCAGGTGCGAGGGCAACGGTTAAAGGATTCAGTTGATGTTGCTGCTTTGAAGCCTTGCGTTTTAACTCTCGTTGAAGGTAACTACTCCTCTCTCTCTCCGTCCATTAAACTCGACATGAACGTCTCAATTCCCTACTGATGTTTCTTCTGTTTATTTTACTGCAAGTCTCTGATTCGAACCATATTAACCATTGAAGCTTCGTTATTCTGTTGTTCAAACAGAGGATTACAACGAGGAAGCAGCAGTTGGGCACGTTAGGAGACTGCTAGATTTAGTTGCCTGCACCACCGGCTTTGGACCTTCTAGAATCAGAAAGGACTGTGCCTATGAGTGTTCAAATAATGGAGGGATCCATGACAAGGCAAAACCCAAGAGCCAAAGAAACCAGCAACCCCTTTCGGCCAATGAGACAGGGGAGATGGAAGAGGAAGAGAGAGAAATGAATGGGGTTTGCCCAAAACTTGGTCATTTCTTTGAGTTCTTCTCTCTGTCGCATCTCACTCCTCCTGTTCAATGTAAGTAGTGCTAATTTTTTGGGCTTCGGTATCTAAGGTTTTGTGTACATTTTTTGGTTTGTTTGGTAAAAAAATCTGCTTAAATCCTTTCAGAAGGGTACCACAATTTACTGAATAAATGATGAAGTTAGCAATTAAAGTTGAATTTGAGTATAATTTTCGAGGATAATGAACAGTTTCAAGAAGTTTCAATTTCTGAGGGATAGCTTGCGTACTTCTTGTATGGATATGAGTTGTAACACAAGGAGTTGATTAAGGGAAAGAGAGATGAACGAATTGAATGTTCTCATATTCAAGATTGAAAAACAACAAAAGTATTCAAACTTGGTTACGAGATGCTCGTCTCTGCAGTATTTCTGTTGATATTCAAAGGAAGTTAAGTATTCTAGTTTTTATTACTAGCACTGATAAGATCCCTTATCATTAAAATTGGGTGTGTAAATTGTTGCAGTCATAAGGAGGTCTACAAGACAATATAATGATATTCTACTGAAAGATGACTTATTTTCCCTTGAGGTAACACTTTTGTTGAAGTTTTGCCTTGTCACTGTTACTAATTGAAATCTTTTGCATTTGATGTTAGTTTCTTGACTCCATCACGTTTGTTCATTTTCCTGTAGGTGAAGCTTTGCAATGGAAAGTTGATATTTGTCCAAGCTTGCACCAAAGGGTTCTATAAAGTTGGGAAGCAGCAAAATATATGTCACAATTTAGTTGATTTATTACGACTGCTAAGTCGAGCCTTTGCTAATGTCAGTATTGAGTTTTTGTTTTTCTGTTATTCTCTTCTTTATTTTGATGTTACTCGTATTTTCTATTGTTTTAGCTTTTCTTTGAATGTTTTAGTGAATCGGATCTCTCACTATAATATGTGAGGCCTGAAGAGCAATGATTGTGACTTCTTTAGATTGGAATGGTCAATTCTACAGTTATCTATTTACTTTGGTACCCAAGCCTGCACATACTCACATGTATATTCATATGCTATGTTTTGTTGAATATGTGCAGGCTTTATTTAGCACAAGTGATAAACTTTCTTGTTTCGTTTCAATATATGTGGTGGAATTTAATATGGAGCACCAATGTAAATACACCTGTACCTTTCTTTCTTATGGATAGAGTTTGGACCCAGCAACCTAGAGGTTGATACAAAGTGTGCATGCATATTTTCTTAGTGATGCTAACAAAATGTTCTTTGGGTGTATTTCTTTGAGTTAGTGCGGTTTGACTATGATTAGAAAGTCATTCATTTGTTGCCTTCGTTTTCCCTTTTAAACTTCCTCAATTGATTAAAAAGGGGGAAAAATTAAGGATAATGACTATAACAGAAAATTCGATATCAAAGTATCAACAACATTGATATCTGAAATAATCTTTTGCTTTATGTGCAGGCTTATGATGAGCTCATGAAAGCATTCTCTGAGCGTAATAAGGTTGGTAAACATAGGATGATCTATCCTACCTGAGCACCATGCAGACACTTTGATCATCTATGCAAAAAGTGCAAAACTTAATAGTGTGTTATTTACTTCCATTCCTTGGAAAATTACCCACTTCTAATGGATAATGTATGCAACAATCAAATGTACAATGGGCAACATTGCCCCATTGAAGTCATCACTGTCCATTGAAATAATGGATGTCAATGGAAAGAAAGTGGTACTCACCAAGATTGGTGATAATCTGAATGGTGGTTCTGTCTCTCCGCTTCACCTTCCATCATTTAGATGGACAGTGATCACCAAATTATTTATGGCGTTCGATGATCCATTGAATGCTCCTCTTTTCCAAAATTGTTACATTTTGCCCTGGTTCTTGCTTTTAATTAATTGACAATGTTAGCCTGAAAATCATACTTCTGGCAAGTGATGCAAGACTTTTTCTTCTCTTTGATGCAAGACGTTTTCTCCTCTTTGCAGTTTGGGAATCTTCCTTATGGATTTCGTGCAAACACGTGGGTTGTTCCTCCTTTTGCTGCATCTTTTCCAGCAGTTTTCCCACCACTCCCTGCTGAGGATGAAGCTTGGGGAGGAAGTGGTGGTGGTTTGGGAAGAGATGGTAAAAGTGATATGAGACCTTGGGCCAGTGAGTTCTCTTTTTTAGCATCAATGCCTTGTAAAACACCAGAGGAGCGCCAAATTCGTGATAGGAAGGCATTTTTGCTTCACAGTCTATTTGTAGATGTTGCTGTCTTCAGGGCCATATCTGCGGTGAAGAATGTTATGGAGAATGTGGATTCCATATCGGAAGTTGATAACAGTGATGAAATTTTTCCTATGGAGAAAGTTGGGGATTTGAATATCACTGTTAGAAAAGATGTACCTGATGCAAGTTGTAAAATAGATATGAAAATTGATGGAAGTCAGATAACTGGGGTTCCACCCAAGTCCCTTGTGGAAAGGAACTTACTCAAAGGGATAACTGCTGATGAAAATACAGCAGCACATGTAAGAGAAACTGCCCAACTCAATATGAAACTTCAGCTCGTCTAAAACTCAAGCAAATCTTGCAACAGCTTGTTGGAACATTCTTTTAGTAATGATAGTGACCATCTTTAATGGAATAGTGTAAAGAATCTAATTGACTGATGAATAAACTTGGTCGGTCATTGTTGTTCATTGAAATGATTGACGCAGAGAGTTTTGATCCGACCATAATGTCATGTCTTATTCTGGTGGTTTCCACTCTCTCCATCACTGTTCATCATTTCAGTGACAGTCATTATCCAATAGACTTTTTTTTTTCGTAGTCTATAGTAAATATTTCCTTTATTGATGGAGTTTTATTTTGTTACGCTTTGAATGTTGGGCTTCTGACCAGTGAGGTTGTTGTTTTATGTCTAGGATATTGTCACATTAGGCACGGTCACTGTAAGATATTGTGGTTACATTGCAGTAGTGAAAGTTGATGGAAGTAAGACAAATGAAGTCACTCAACTGCAAGATATTGATATCATGGATCAACCTGAAGGGGGCGCCAATGCCCTAAACATGAATAGGTTTGCTTGTTGATGCCTTGATTTGTGCTCTTTCTTATACTTCTTCCAATGTGAATACAGTATATGTAAATTCAGTTGAACTTTCAACCAGAGCCCTCGTTTGGGTAGTAGCCAAATCAAAATGGAAATGGATAACATCCTTGCATCAATCATTATGCTCTCAGATTTGGATGAAATTTGCTGAAATTCATCTGCTAAAATTCATATTTATGTGCCCTTCATGATGTGGTGCCTTTCGTTCTCATCACAAGCCAGTTTGCATTCTTACCCTTGTGTCTATCTAACTTATGGTTACTGTGGTCACTTCCAGTTTGAGGACTTTACTTCACAAGAGGCCTCTCTCACAAGGTTCACAACAAAAAAGAGTGCTATCCCAGTCACATAATTCGGAAGCTGAAGCGATGAACGAAGCCAAGATTTTTGTGAAGAGAATATTGGAGGATAGTCTTGCTAAGCTTCAGGCCGAAGAAGCAGATAGAAATGTTTTCATTAGATGGGAACTGGGAGCTTGTTGGATACAGCATTTGCAAGATCAACTCAACGCAGATAAGGACAAAAACAAGACTACTGAGAAAACTAAGAACGAATCAACTGTAGAAGGACTTGGAAAGCAACTTCGGTTCCTAAAGAATATTAAAAAAAAGACAGAAGCTGGAAACGAAAAAGCAAGTGGAAAGTCTTTCGACAAGGTGGTTGGTGGTGAAAATGAAAATAAGGTTCATCCTGTTGAACCTGAGTCTGATAAGAAAGCAACTGAAAACGAGCTAGCTCTCAAGAAGATACTGCTCGATGCATCCTTTATGCGGCTGAAAGAATCTAAAACAGGACTTCATTGTAAGGTATGGTTTAATTTTTGTCTGACTTCTGATAACATACATGAACTATTTCAATGTGTGAAATTAGATGCCTTTTTTCCCTGTAAATAGTGTTTTGATGGTCCATTAGACATGCCATCTGTCTTATACTTTTTAATGGCACTAGATTTTATTTTTGTAAAGAAGGTAAGGAGCAGCAAAGTTTGATTTTTGGTCCTTTGTCATTCTTATGCAATTTATTTTCAATTTATGATGTGAAAAAGTTCACTTTAAATTTCGTTTAGGGGACCCCAAGTCCGCATTCTTGTGCAGATTCTTTACTTTAACTGTACCTGGTGTTTTACATTGCGTGCTCTCTAAATCATGATGAAAACCCAATTAGTGACTTTCATTCATCTTGCTAAAACATCTTGCTTTGAAAGCTTTGTCCTTGCTTTCGGGTTAAACTTGATTTGCGCTTGTGTTTCGCACCCAAATCCATTATCCAGTTGTTCTTTTTCACTGGATAATTGTTGATTTTCCATATGTTATGAGCAGTCTCCGACGGAGCTCTTGAGTGAGTGTGTGTGCACACATTCTGGTGCACTATTCAATAATTGTTGATTTTCCATATGTTATGAGCAGTCTCTGACGGAGCTCCTTGAGATGGCGCAGAAATATTATGATGATGTTGCTCTACCAAAGCTGGTAAGCTAAAATTTTATCTTGATCTCTTTGTGATGGTCATTCATGCGTATACTATGTTCTCACAGAAATGCATTATACCCATTTCAATTTGCTAAACATGATGTTACGGCGAAATTTTCTTTGATAACAGGTTGCAGATTTTGGTTCATTGGAACTTTCGCCAGTTGATGGTCGCACTTTGACTGATTTCATGCATACAAGAGGTCTACAAATGCGTTCTTTGGGGCATGTGGTAAGAAAACTAATGTCTGATATTTGGCAAATTCTTGCTGAATTTGCGCCAACTACTTTTTCTATCTTGCCCAAAGATAAAATGGTCATATGGCAGGTTTCCAAACAATGGCTATTTATACCCCCATTTGCAGCCAGAATTGGCAGAAATGTGGAACTCATATGTTTGATAGATATATTTAGATGAGCCGGCTTTCCCAATATTTGGATCTGGAACTTGGTTGAATTACTGAAATTTGGCTATTTTCCTCTTTTCCAATAAAAACCAATACTATATAGAACACTAATATCAAGGGATGAGTCATTTAAAGAACTGTATTATAGCCTAAATGTCCTGCCTCTCCAAATCTTATTTTTGCATCTCCCTGTTGACAAATTAAACTTTTATGTTTTTTTTCTGAAAACTGATATTTTTATCAGGTGATCACAGACTACTTTATCCTCTCTATTTTTCATTTACTTGTTCGATCAGGTGAAGCTCTCAGAAAAGCTTTCTCATGTGCAATCACTTTGTATTCATGAGATGATAGTTAGAGCTTTCAAGCATATTTTGCAAGCAGTAGTTGCTGCTGCTTCGAGAACTGGTAACTTGGCCTTATCAATAGCTGTAGCCCTAAATTTGATGCTTGGAGTTCCTGAAAAGGGAGAACCTCATGGCAGTTGCAACCTGCACTCTGTTGTATGGAGATGGCTGGAGACATTCTTGAAGAAGAGATATGACTGGGAATTGAGCTCTATTAACTACCGAGACATAAGGAAATTTGCCATTCTGCGAGGATTGTGCCACAAGGTAATAGACATTTGACAAGTTGTTCAAATCCTGATTAACTTAAAGTTAGACATTTGACAAGTTGTTCAAATCCCGATTAACTTAAAGTTTATCAAAGAAGAATTCCCCATAAGCATCTGGCAACATTTTGGTAGAACATTTCAACATAGGAGTCCAGCATTAACTATAGTTTGGGTGGCCTAGGGGCTTTCATGGACATGCTGTTCTTTTTAATAAATTATATGTTGTTCAGGTAGGAGTTGAGCTTGCGCCCAGGGATTATGATATGGACGGCCCAAATCCCTTTCAATCAGGAGATATTATAAGCTTGATACCAGTGCATAAGGTGAACAGCAATGTATTTCTTTATGTTCTTTTTATTTTTCTTTTTTTTGGGTAATATTTATGTTCTCTTGAATTAATTCATGAAAAATTTTAATGGGCTTTTACTTTTACATGGTCTGCATTGCAGCAATTGGCATGCTCATCTGCAGATGGGCGGACACTTTTGGAATCATCAAAAACAGCTCTTGACAAGGGTAAACTTGAAGATGCTGTCAATTACGGGACAAAGGTACTAGATGACAAAAGAGTTCATGTTGAGTAGAAACTTAAGTGATGCATGGGAAAACTTAATTAATATATGCTATTCACACTTTCTCATGGCATACTGAATTTTTTTGTGAAGGCTTTAGCAAGACTTGTAGCGGTATGTGGCCCTTACCATCGCATGACCGCTGGTGCATACAGCCTTCTAGCTGTAGTCCTCTATCATACTGGGGATTTTAATCAGGTCAAGTCCAAATTCTCACTCCTCTATTTATGTCAGAATAAGAATATTCTTGCTTGTGTAGAAAGGCTTGGGTTGATCTCTAGGCTAAACTATTTCAAGTATTCTGGAAATTTGCAGGGTACCTTTGAATGGAAATTAATTCTATGAAGAGTATATTATTCTGTCTAAAATAGTATCTCTTGCTTCATACTATCTGTTAGTTGTTTTGGTAGGTATCATTGTGTAGAAAGTCTATATGCATATTGTGTTATATGTTGTTTGGATGAGGCCAACTTGACACTAATTTGTTTTCCTGTGAGATTGAAAATAAGGACCCCACATTTCTCAATTGTGATTTCAGAGCGCTTCCCTGTGCACTATGCAAAATTCATGGAGAGAGAGTGAAAGTCAGAGGTTCCCTCTATACTGCGTTCTTTGCAAAATCCATGGAGAGAAAGAGAGAGAGTGAGAGAGAAAGAGACAGAGGGACAGAGAGAGAGAGAGAAGCCTGCATGAAAATGGCTTTGCAGAATGGACAAATGCCAAAAAAATCTTGGTATCCAAGCCCTCCTGCATCAAAACCCTTGTCTTCTCTTTCACAATCTAGCACCCAAAAGTGGAACATGCCTAACCATGTTTCAGAATTTCTGGTGATTCATGATCTGTATCTTCAAAACATAGGTGACCTAACAATAATTCTTGCCACTTTAAACCTCCATTTCTGTTCTGTTTCTCAGGTCCTCCAAAATGAATGGAAAAAAGCCTCCAATTTCTACCTTTGGTTCTTGATATTCCATCTACCTGAAAAGGAAAGAAAGTTTCAATCTCTTCCTCTGATTCTTGAAATTCTAGTGATTTAAGCCTCTATTTGTGGTTCTGTATCTTCAAATTTCAGCTGATTGAACACTAACTGAATGCTTCATATCCATTATAGAATCTCATCAAGCCTATGAACCACCATATCAGCTGATGCAAGTTCATCTTCAGGTTGAAAAGTAGCCACACCTACCACATTCATTTTCCCCTCTCTTGCTGAATGCTTGCTTGCTCAAATTTGAGCATCCAAAATCATACATTAATCCCAAAACTTTAGCTGCTAAATCAAACATCTCAACCTCTTTCCTATGCAAGCCTCAGCCCCAATTTTAAAATCGCACCAATTCTTCGTATTTGAAGCTTCAATGGCATTTGTAAGTATTTTTTGGGTCTTGTTGAGATCATGGCCATTGGGATACGTACTTTTGTAGGGTTCTGACGAGTTCTTTGGACCTGGTTCCAATGGAACTGTTTTTCCACCTTGAAACTCTGTAAATTGCTTCGTCCCTGTGAGCGAGCTTTTTGGTTTGGATAGGATCTCTAGTACGTCATAGAATATTTGGAACAGCTTGCTCTACTTTCATGGCCTGGACTTTTGGGGGGGGAGAGAAAAACAACTGGGCTGGGAACTAAGCTTTTGTGACAATTGGACAAGTGCTCCTTCCCCATTCTATGATAACCCAGAATTGATGGGGGCAAAGTTGAAGAGGGCTCTTTCGCTATGTTTTCAGAGGTCTGAACCTTAGGGTCTGGTTTTGGGGGTGGGAGTGGTACACATGAGAACGAAACATCTCTTTGGTGGACTCCATGGCCAAGCTCTGTAAGGATGGCAAAGGGCCAGGCCAGCCGGAGCCTAGCCCGGCCCTTGCCCCCATACGGCAGGCTCAGGCCAGGGCTGGCCCAGGTCGGGTCAAAAACAAATGAAGAAAAAATAAAAGAAAAAAGAAAGGAAAGAACGAGGGCCGAGCCGTCTAGCCCAGCCCTCAGGCCACAGTTTGTGGTCCAAGCCCTACCTTTTTAGGGCCGAGCCAGCAGAGCCTGACCATTGCCAGCCTTAAAGCTCCAATATATGGCTTTAGAGTTGTGTTTCTCTTTGCACTTTGGGATCATGTATTGGTGAGAAGAACAAATCAGACAAAAACCGATCACCCATAAAAAAAAAGAAAAAATTGAGTTTTTTGCCTTCATTTTGAAGATTTTGGTGAAGTGACGGGGATTTGGTGATGAAGAAATTCTTTTATTGGCCCTTCCCTGATAAATTGGAGCGCTGTTTTTTGGTATAAGGATAAACATTTTTTTAAGTGGTGTGGACTTATATGGGAAATCACATAAAAGCTTATTCCCAAGATCTTTGGAGGCACACTACCAAACAGCATATAGGTGCTTTGGATAACAAATAAATTAATCCATGCTTGTCAGGAGTCTCATGCGCATCCAATCATGCCTGAAGTCTATGATATAAAAAATGTATCTAGTTACATTGCTGTTCACTATTTTTTTTTTTGGGTTTGTTCAGTGGGGATAGGGCCCCTACCCATAGGAATGGAACTTGAAACGTAGAGCTGTTAAAACCCAGCTGTTACTGCCTAAACCCAAGCCCTATTCCTACTGTTCACTATTTAAGCTCAACCATGCATGTGTGAAATGTTTGTTCATTTGCACTTTCATGCAGTCATGCTCAAGATAACCCTAATATGTTACCTAGATAGTTCTCATGAGTTATGCAATTTCAATTATATAAACAGGCTCTAAAAAAGATAACTAACATACGCGAAGGAAACAAACCTCTTCAAACACAAGAATACTTTTAAAACAAAGAAAGAAAAACTGTATTCATTTGGGGGAAAAAAGACGGAAGTGTTGATCTGACAGCAAGGGCTACAACGAAACACATGAATAGAAATGCTAGCCTATGCATTACAAAATACAAACAGCCCAAAGCAGAGTTTGAGAAGCCTTTCTCCTGAAAGCTCTCCATTTATCACCAGTACAAAATCTTGTTCTCCCTACTTAAAACGTGGCAGCATTTCTCTCCACTCTTGCTATGTGAAAGCAGTTTCTTTTTAAGAAATTTTCTCTCTTCCATTTTAAGTTCTCTTTTGAATATGAAGATTTGGGGTTGATGTTAGGTCATTTTTTTTGAGTAGTTTAACTTTTATACAGAGTGTTAGGAATGGATCCTATAACTAATTGTCTATACTCTTGCAAATAGGGTCCAAATGACACATGTTCTCTTATAGTAGAGGTGCAATTCAACCGTATTTATTTGCAATACCAGACCTTACCACTAGTAGGGATGACTATTCCACTGCGATGTGCTAAATCATCTCCTTTTATTATCTTAACATCAATATCTTATTTATTGGCATGCATGTATCTTTTTGTCAAAACCATGAATATGTATGTCGAGTTAAAATTGGGTGTGTGAGACTTGCTTCTCATGAACTTCTTCTTGCAGGCAACAATATACCAACAGAAAGCTCTAGATATTAATGAAAGGGAGTTGGGCCTTGATCATCCAGATACAATGAAGAGCTATGGAGACCTTGCTGTTTTCTATTATCGCCTTCAACACACAGAGCTGGCAATAAAGTGAGTTAGAATTAGTAAATTTTTTTGTCTGACATAGATTTATGAATTTCTGTAATGTACTATTCATAGTTGTTCCACTTAGATAGGCATGTATCTTACTCTTCATTCAAACTTTATTAGGTCTTACCACGTACTACATTTGAAACTGGACCCCAACATTTAAATCCCCCAACCCCCCGCCCACACAAGAGTCCACAGGAAAATGGAATACATGTGGTCCTCAATTAAAACTGAAATTGTTGAGAGACAGAAATGGTTCTTTCCAGCCACAATTTTTGTCTTTCATACCCAGTGTTTCCAAGTGTACTTTTACCCTTCTAAAGATTCTGTAAGAAGTTGAATAAGACTGTGATAGTGTTATTGAAAACTTATCTGTTGTTCTCCATTTTTATCAGGTATGTAAAGCGTGCCTTATATCTTCTGCACCTTACTTGTGGACCATCCCATCCGAATACTGCTGCTACTTATATTAATGTGGCTATGATGGAAGAAGGGTTAGGGAATGTTCATGTTGCCCTGCGGTATTTGCATAAGGCCCTAAAATGTAACCAACGGTTGCTTGGTCCAGATCATATTCAGGTACTCTTTTCCTATCTTCAATTTTTTTTGTTTGACATTCTCTTCTTTTCAGTGGAAATTTTATAGTACACACCGCAAAGTAATATACACACACACATGATCGTACTAACTAGATCCAAGTATTTCCTCAACGCATGTATTTGTATTGGGACTGGTACTGTAGGTTTTCCTGCACAATATCTAGACGAAAATGAGCACTGAATTATGCTTATGGTTCACTAATACTACTGCCAGTATTTCCTTCAATAATATACGTATTTAGTGTCCATGAAGAACTTAGATGTGAACTCTTTACTCCCCTTGTTGTTGTTATTGTATCTATCTTTCCTTCCAATTTTTCTTTTGTTCCTTAACTTAGACTAATGATGCTTTTGCAGACCGCAGCAAGTTACCATGCGATTGCCATTGCTCTTTCTTTGATGGAGGCATACCCTTTGAGCGTTCAGCATGAGCAGACAACATTGCGAATTCTCCGGGCCAAGCTTGGTCCTGATGATCTGCGTACGCAGGTGTGTTTTAAACTATCTATTTAACTTTAAACAATCTAAATACAAATACTTAAAAAGAGAATGAGTAAAATATCATGACGGTACGATGAACACCTGATCATGCAGGTGGTTCAGAAACTTTAAATATGAAGACATTACCTTTTTAAGATAACTATTTGCCAGACTCTTGTGTCTAGACAAGTGAGGGGAAAGATAGGTCAAATAGTGGTTTTGAAAAGAATTGATATATCCATTTACCTGGTACTTCCAGGTACTGTCCTGTTATTTACCCAAAATGAAAAACCGTTGACCAAACAATACCTTGCTAATTTTGCAGGATGCTGCTGCGTGGCTTGAATATTTTGAATCCAAGGCTTTTGAACAGCAAGAAGCTGCTCGAAATGGTACTAGAAAACCGGATGCATCCATTGCCAGCAAGGGCCATCTTAGGTAACCTGAGATTTAAATTTACCAAATCTGACAGTGAACCTACCAATGAAATGTAAACTAAAACAGTGACCAATTCTAGTTCATTGTTTTGAAAAACTTGAAATGTACTAGATCAGTGGCAAACTTGTAGGGAAAAACTAAAGATATCAGTTTTCCAAAGACGGTTCTGAGCTGGACGGTTTGACATCTGTAGTGATTGGTCAAACTAGCATGATGTATATGAATGTATATTCATAGATTATATGTATATGCCCCCTAGATTTAGCTTTCATATAGATGTCTCACATTTTTTCTGGTTCTCTTATCTTATGGGATGAATTTTGACCTATTATCTTGTCTGTAGAAGTTAATTCTGATGTACCTTCTGTCATTCTTGTTGAATTTTTCCAACAACACATTGCTGTCCCCTTTTGACAGTGTTTCAGATTTGCTCGATTATATAAATCCCAATCAAAATCTCAAAGGGAAAGATAGTGATGTAGCAAAAAGAAAAGGCCATAATACAAAGGTATATTGTGCTCATCTGGTATACGGACTTAATCATGCTGTTCATACAAGTCAAGAGGTATATTGACTGAATTCTTTTTGCAGATTAAAGGAAGGTCCTTCCAAATTTCTAGCTTAGCAGGTTTTAAGGAGGCCTCAAATGATCCATGGATGCGATCTCCAGAGGAAGTAAAACAAGCCAGCAAGCCTGAAACAGTCGAAGAGGTAGAAACGGGTAGTGCCCCATTGATCCCTTCAAAAAATATTGAGGAAAAAGTAACTGTAAATGAGCCTGCTTCCATTTACGAAGCATCATCTAATACCAATAATGAAGGGGATGATGGGTGGCAAGCTGTTCAAAGGCCAAGATCAGCTGGCATGGCTAGGCAGACTTTCAGGCAGAGGCGATCAAGTGTAGGAAAGATCCACAATTACCAGATTAAAGAACCTAATCTTGAAGCAGTGCAAGAGCAGAGAATAACAAGGAATTCTTATATGAGCAATCGTTATTATAAAGTTTCTAAGACCTCATCACCTGCCACAAAATTTGGAAGGAAAATGGTCAAGGCAGTGACCTATCGTGTTAAGTCTGTGGCTTCTGCTGGCAACAGTGCTGCACCGGAATTATCAGGAACCAGAAGTGAAAATGAGATATTAAAGCATTCAGCCAGCTCTAATCCAAAACGTGAACCAGGCCCAACTGGTTCTACTATTGAAGCAATGGCTTTTCACTTACCTGTATCAACAAATAATAATATTGCAGGTGGTCTTGGGAAAACACCTTCTTACAAAGATGTGACACTGGCACGACTAGGAACTAGTGTTAAGACACCAGAGATACCAGTGGAACAGCCTAAGGAAGATACTTCCATGAAGTTGAAGCAGTTAGATAAAGGTTTTTATTTCTTAATTTATTATTTTCGATTGATTGTTTTCTTTTTGGTTATTTTGACTAGTTGATTGGTCTGTAGTTATTTTTTTAACATTTTCTTTTTTTTCTTAAAGCAGCTGGGGTGCCAGATCTGGGTTCTGATGATTCTGCCCCTAAGTTGACTTCCCCATCTTGTTTAACTGATGTAAATGACGAAGAGAAAGAGGACAAAAATATTGACATTTGCAAGGAAGATTCATTGTCTCATAAAGAAGAGGCAACAGTGGTGACCAGTGCAGAGGAACAAAGGCATCTTGAATCTTCCGAAAAGGCTTCTATCATGGAGGAGATAGAACAAAATGATTCTAGTGGCACTTTTGCTGGCATAAAGGAGAGAGAGAAGCCCCTTCTTTCCATCGAGACAGCTACTTCATTGAAAGAAGACTTTTCTGATACTGCTCAGATTGAGAATTCAAGCTTAAGCTCTAATACAGTCGAGGAAGTTGATAGTCATGAGAATTCAGCGACTGCAGGGGTCAATAATGCTGAGCAGAATATGGAAGAGCATGGTGTGGCTTCTGGAAATGTATCGGACTCACCCACGAGAAAACTATCTGCTTTAGCCATACCTTTTAACCCTGGCCCTGCCAATTTCCATCCATCAGTCTCTATGGGTCGTGTATGGAATGTACCCATCCAACCCAACATCATACCCATACCACCCATGTCACCCATCATGTCTGTATCTCCTGTCACCCCCATCTGTGCATCTCCTCACCACCCATATCCACCATCACCTCCAAGACAACCCAACATGATCCATCCATTGCCATACATGTACCCATCTTATGTTCAACCCCAACCAATGCATAACGGTCCCTTCCCTCTAAATGGGATTGCTTTTCATGCTAGTCATGCATGGCCATGCAATATGAACCCTAATGCTGCTGAGTATGTTCCTGGTGTGGTATGGTCTGGATGTCATCCATTTCCTATACCCCCACATGTTGAGGATTCGGTATCAATACCAAATCCTGAGGAACCCAGATCAGAAAAGGATGACTCGAGGTCTCTATTGGACTCGCAAAACACTGAAGGAGAAACCAAGAAGGAAGACCAAAGTTCAGTAACAAGTGTAGGTAATGAAAGTAAAAACAATGACGACTCTACTTTGAGTGGGAATGCAACAGTTAAGGGTGAAATAAATTGTGATCAGGTGCCTGAAGAAAAAAGTGTTGACTTGAAAGCAGCCCCTGAGAGCATTTGTGGGAAAAATGGTGCAAAAATGGATGGAAAAAGCATTAGTATTGTGATAAAAGGTAGAAGAAACAGGAAACAGAATGTGAGGATGCCCATAAGTTTGCTGAACCGGCCATATGGGTCGCAATCTTTTAAGGTTATTTATAACAGAGTAGTGAGAGGGAGCGAACCTCCCAAACCCACACACATGACCTCAAGCAATGATAATTTTCTGCCTCAAGGCGAAAATAACATGATGTGAAATTGTGAATGTATTTTTTATTTTCACATTTTGAGATCACTGAAGAAACAGTGAAGAATTTGGGAGGGGCTCTCTCAGTTCGGAGTTATCTTTTTTACGATTCAGCTACTGGTATATTCTTTCTGACAAATTGTTGACTGCTTCCCACCAAGCTTATGGAGAAAAATAAAGGTCAGTTTGTCTTTGATGAAATTAGATTATCTAATTTTCTTTATTATGCCCCAAATAAATTAAATAGGTGTCAATTGATTTCTACTATGGTTCCTTGAAGGAATGTGTTCTGAGACTTATGCCCTTGTGTCCAAACTATATTAAATAGGGTATCCACTATTCTAGCATTGAAGTTGTGCATAATTTCAACTGCTTGTAAATGTGTTCGAACTTTAAATGAGATAGTCTCTCTCGTGATTCCTCCTATCATCATGGAGGGGGCTGGAAATGTTTTCGTTACTATGTCAAACATCCCTCCCTTGACAAACTAGGAGTAACGCACGGCATTTAGTCCAGCAAAAGGTTGGATAATAATTAGGCAATAATATGATTCCAAGCCTTGTCTCATTGTTTGGGCATTTTTGTGCTGCGGCACGTTGGCCCAAGGTTCAAATCCCATCACAAATCTACCAAAAAGGAAGAACCTCTATCCTTGTTACATATCATTTTGGTGAGAGTTAGTTTTGGTTTCAGTTCAATTGTTTCTCTCCATGGCAGTCCCTTACGTCATTATTAACATGAGTGCTATCGTATTGGCTAATAATTAATTTTGCTTTTCAGAATTGACAGGAGTCTTAAAGTCTTGTGCATGACTAAGTCAATTGTGGCAGACAATTTTAAGGCTGTGGAATAAATACCCCTGAGAAACATGGAGATCGTTTGGGTTGATGCCACTTTGGTTAGTTCCTGTTCTCTAATTTTCCTTTTTCTCAATTTCTATTTTTCTGCATTTCCTTCATATTGTTCATCAACTCTTTGTCAAAATTCATAGGAAAAACAAATAGTAGGTCAGCATGGTTTGTAAAAATTCAAAGGAGGAATCTTGTCTATTGATTCTTTTTATTTTCTTTTTTCGCATTCTACACTTCAAATTGGGAATGTAATAAGGCTGTTTAGTTTTCACATAAAAAGGTCATAATCACCCTAGCGTTCTGATGTGGAATCAGTTGGCTGGGGTGTGCCATTGGTTACAGTAAAAATTAGAAAACAAATTTCTCATATTTTGTGCAAAGAAATGATACACCCTCAGCCACTCGATTTCACATCTAATGGCAAAAGGTGATTGTGACCTCTTTATATCAAAGGCACAATCCCTTTGAATTTTGGATGGGTTCCTGGGATTGACCATAATGCCCTTTGGTTTTGGTAAATGACTGAAATACCCTTCATATCATGTTGTTCATTCAGGGCGGTCACATTAATTATGTGAATGTTTTACCAATTTGGAGACCAGCAAAAAGGACAATAGGAAGCTCCTGCCATCATTTCCTTCAAAAACACCCGGGATTTATCAATCATAATTAGGCTTACCACATGGAGAGATTGAGGAAAATGTTAATCTAGGAAAATGGAGAGATTGATGAAGATGTTGCACACAAAATTAAAGTTGGGTGGGCGAAGTGGAGATGCGCAACTAGAATTTTATGTGATCCTCGCATACCAATGAGGCTGAAGGACAAGTTCTATAGGACAACGGTGAGACCAGTTTTGCTCTATGGGGCAGAATGTTGGGTAGACAAAAGATAATATACCCATAGAATGAGTGTAGTGGAGATGAGGATGTTGAGATGGATGAGTGGCAAGACAAGAAGGGATAGAATTCGAAATGAATCTATTAGAGAGAATTTAGGTGTGGCACCAATAGGTGGTAAAATGAGAAAGAGTAGACTTATGTGGGCTAGCCATGTGTGGCACCGATCAAGTGCAACACCTATTAGGAGATGCGAATTAGTTTAAGTGGAATGACTGAAAAGGGTAAGGAGTAGGCCTAAAAAGACGTGGTTGAAAGTAGTCCGAAAAGATGTGGGGACTTATGGCCACACTAATGATATATGGCCTTTAATAGAGCATAATGGAGAACCAGGATTCATGTAGCTGACCCCAATTAATTGGAAAAAGGCTAAAATGATGATGATGATGATGAATTAAGCTTACCAACAAGCCAAGCTTAGGCTGAGCCAGACAAGGAGCTAGCAGCCTAATATTTTGCCAGACCCCAGTCCAACAATAGAATCGGACAGGGTCGAACTCGAGTGCGCTCACACACCCGCACACACACATATAGGAAAAGTTTGTACAAGGTTGGGATCATACTTGTAGAAGTAAGGTTGCAGTAATCTACACTGTCGACAGTGTAAATATGATACTATCTTAAAAGGCACATCACTTTTTGACAATGTCTTAAAAGACGTGTCAAATCTACACAATATAACTAAAATAGATGGTGTAGAACATCTACAAGTAACGTTGCCATCATAGATAAACCACTCCCATAGACATATATGGTGAGGTTTGTATAAGGTACCAACCTTACACTATACAATAAGGTGCACCATTAAATCTTATTGAAAGATGTAGTTGCAGTATTGGAGACCTTGCAATGGCTTGAAAATCCATGTTCAACCTTTAATATAAATTTAAATTAAAAAAATACTGTAAATTTAGCAGATCTATGAAAATTTGAAAATAAACGGTCCAAATAACTTGTTAAAAGATGAGTTATTTTTAGGACTTGAAATTCTGTTTTTTTTTTCTTTATATTATACATCTCGATGCTGAGATGATCAATTCGAAGAAGGTTTTCTAACTTCAAAACACTCTTTTCTACTAAATTTTTGAGGTACACCTTGTTTTTGTAGTATAAGGTTGCAAGCTTGTGTAAACTTTTTTGTCTATATATATATATATATATATATATAAGAATTGTATACAATGAGACCATTTACCTTTGATACAAGAGGTCACAATTACTTACAACCATTCAACGTGAAATTTAATAGCTTGGATGAGTCACAAAGTTCGAGAAAATTTCTTGTGAAGTTTGAGTTTGGTCAATGGAATAATTGCAGCCACCCAAGTTCACATCCAATGATCAAGATGAATGTGACCATCTTGTACCAAAGGTAAATGGTTTCATTCTATACTTTCCCATATATATATATATAAGGAAAAACCTTAAAAGCGCCTATAGGGGCAGCGCTACAGTTTTTCGCCACTGCCATAGACTTGCTATGTTAGTGGTGGTTTATTGAACGAACCCGCAACGAATGCCGTCCGTTGCAGCTCCGCGTGATGTTTTGACCGTCACGGACCTAGTATGTCCGTGGCGGTTGAAAAGTGCATGCCGCCAATTTTTTGGACGATGATGAGCCTATGAGCAAAAACACTGTTCATTTTCTCCCATAGGCGTTGTGTAGTGTCTTCATATATATATATATATATATATATATATATAGAGAAGAAGAGAGAGAGAGAGAGAGAGAGAGAGAGAGAG